AATAAAATAAATATCTTTACTATTGTTTAACCTATGAATTCTATAGTTACTTGAAATTGCTACTGCTACTTGAAACTGACATTGCAAAGTTTTGTGCAGAATTTTAAAAAAAAATTAAAAAATCTACACAGATCTATATTTTATTACAGATCTGTGCAGATTTTTTAATTTTTTTTTCTTTACTAATTATTACTAGGTTTGAAGTTTTGCGCAGATTTTAAATCTGAAGATCTGTGCAAAATTGTGCCCTCAAAAATTTTCTGATATATGCAAAGAATCAAGATCAGTTAGATATTCTTAAAAAATTCAGATCTATAGAAAAAAATCAAGAACAAGCTAAAAAACTACTCACTTAGATTCAGTATACTATATTATCTGGTCAAATAGATGATTCAGATAAGTCAAGAGTTAAATAGTTCAATAAATTCTTAAAAGATTATAATTTAATTTCTAAATATTTATATAAATTAAAAGTAATTTATAATATAATAGTACATAAGATAAAGAATTTAGTATATACCTATATTATTGCTAAAGCATATCTATATTATTCATCCAATAATCATACTTCTCTAGTAAAGAATTATGTTATAGTAAATTATTAAAAAAAAGAATAGACTTCAGAGTAAGCAAGATCATTCTATCTTTATAATAATGATAACTAATTATACTTCTTTATTTTTATTGCAGAGCAAGCCCAGAGAGTGTCATTACATAGCATGGCTTTTATCTATTATATTTATAATAAAATCTTTATTATCATTAAATGATTTAGATGAAAATAAGAATGAGAACTCAGATGTAGTATTATTTAAAATTTTCTTTTTTCTTTTAGTCTTGCATGATATATAATTTCTTTAAGAAATATTAGGATTTATTATTAAGTTAATAATTTCTAGTCTAATCTCAAATTTCACTATCTTCAGTAATTGGTAGAGAAAAATCAAAATTCTTCTATGTAATATCTGTTTAATAATTTTAGATACTAATTTTGAGATATTATTGCTGGAGATAACTGTTTTATAGCTATTATTAACTATTAGATTTTAACTAATTTATTATTAATATACAGAAAAAATATAATTAAATATATTATCATAATAAAATATCATAATGATAACTTTATCCTGTAAAATTAATAAAGTACCAGATACAACTATATTAGATTCTGATGTTAATTATAATATTATAGCTGAGAAGATAGTAAATAAATTAGATTTAGAAATTGATAATATCTCTGATGTAGGAATATATATATCCATTAGCAAACTTGATATAGTAGGAGTAATTCATGAAATTTCTATTTCAATCCCATCTCAGAGTCCTAAATGGAAACAAGTAGAAGTTACTAATATTTTTGTTATTAGTATTCCTAAACCTGTACTGATGTAACTTAATTTATATCTCTAGAAAGTGATAAATTATAATTCAATAAATTAAGAATAATTATAAATAATATAAATAATATTATTATTTGATTTATTATATGTAAATAAATTAAATAATAGTATCTTTATGATAATTTGATTATTAAATATCACAAAATCTTGGCATTCCCTTTATTACTCTAAATCCAGTAAATAACATAAGTAAAGCTTGCTGGGTCAGCCATGATTCCAAAAAAATGTAATGAAAGTGGACTTTTAAAATAAAACTCTTAAATTGCTTAATGAAACTAGTTGCAAGATTAAATACAATTGAGAATATCTGGAAAATGTATAATATATATATTTAAAATTAATTATCCAAACTCAATTATTTTTTTCATTTATAATATATATCATTAACATGTTCATAAATACTCTTGTTGAAAGAAAAATCCTAAGTAAAAGTATTAATAGATATAATATCTAAATATAATATAATGATCTGTGATTATGATGTAATATAGATGTCATTCTGCACATAATATAAATATTCAAGGCTTGATTATTAAGTAAATTAATCCTGCTATTCCTACTCTGTCACACTATTTGTGCACAAGACAATAACTGTAAAAATTGAAAACCAAATAAGGTATTTTAATATTTCCTAGTTTGAGGCTGTGAAAACTCTATATTTATTTCTATTTAAGTTAGAAAACTTAAATGAATCATGATAGAAGAAACTCATTACCAATTTCATGGTACCTTTCAGGTAAAGAGAGAAAGAGCAGAAAAAAAAAGCTTAAATGAATAAAAAGAAACTTAAACGAATTTAAAAATCATATTCTATATAGAATAAAGGGGAAATTGACATCTTGCAGTCTGACAAGAAAAATAGTATTCTTATATAAGTTTCAACTGATACTGATTATTATGTTTTATGATGCTTGATATCTCCTTTAGAGTTACGTATATCAGTCCTTAAAGAAGATGATAGTAGAGAAGCAAATCAAATATCTACATAAGAGTTAGGAATGCTTAGCACAGAATATAGTGATAATATAGCAAGATTCAAAATTGTATCTGACAATAGTGAACCTCACATACTCAAATCAAGTATCGAAATAGAAAGGCAAAGATGTGAAATTCATAATAAGTTCATCAATTTATTACGATCTAACAGTGAGAATGGAGATAGTAAAGACAAGAAAGGAGAAAATACAGATATTATGGTAGGCAAAAAACTGGAAGAATGTCTTAACACTGAGACAATTGAAAGAATACAAGCATCCTTTGAGAAACTGCTCAGAATCAGTTTCCTGAGAGGTGATAGTTGGAAAAAGATTATCCCTGAGAAAATGTATCACCTTGTGCATACAGATCTTACTTTACTGGCAAAGAAAAATCAATTACCAAAAATCCTATAATCATATCTCAAGTACAATTATGTGAAGGAAAAATAAGAAGAACATTGTGTTGCAATAATTCACTCATCTTAGTTGATGTATTTAAAGATAATTCTTGTATTGCAATCTTGATTAATTATGATGTTCTTGATGGTGATCCTAAAGAACTAATTTATCATATAAAATATGTTGCTGATTTTGGCTTTGATCATATAATTATTATCAGGAAGACAGAATATGGAATGATCTTTTTAGACTGTTATGGTTGTGTTTTTTAATGGAAAAATATGAGTTAAATGTTATGACCACTTGGTGATTCTCCCAAAAAAGCATTGAAAAGCATAGTTAAAGGAGTAGATTAGTTGTATTAGTTTGAATATAATGGAACTGTATATGAGCAAATTATAAAATAAGAAGATTATTAAATTTCTTTTCAATTTTTACACAGCCTAACAAGCATATTTAAGATAATATAGCTTTGAATAATAACAAATCAATTTGCAATAACTGCATTCCTAACCAAAGTAATCTGAATAAGATTATCTTACAAAATGGCCTAAAGCTAAAGCAATTTCAGACTAGAAAACTATTATAATTATAAAATTTATCTTTGAAGAAATAATTTATAGACATGGATATCCTAAAAAAATTCAATCAGATAATAGATTAGAATTTATCAATGAAATAGTCAAGGAATTATAAATAAAATTTGGAATCAAACATAAATTTTCTTTATCTTATTATTCACAAATGAATAAAATAATAGAATATTTTAATAGAACTCTATGTATAATCTTATAAAAATTAATAATAACACATGAACAAGAATAGAATACCTTTATTCCTACTGTTCTTTTCACTTATTGATCTAATCAAAATTCAACAACAAAACATGAATTATTTTTCTTGATCTATATATAAAATTCTAAATTATCAATTTTGGAAGAAGATTCTACAGAAGAAGAAAAATTAATATAGTAGATATATAATATAATAGATCAATTACCACAACAAATATTAGAAGTAAAGCAAAATATAGAAGAATGACAGTTATGATATTCTCAAATATATAATAATGTTTGAAATTGGAAATAAAGTATTAATATTTGATATAAAATAATACTCAGTAATTAGAGATAAATTTCAATCTACCTGGAATAAAAAATGATATTATATTCATAATTATACTAGATATAATTCTTACAAAATTTATAATCAAAAAGAAAAAGTTCATAAGTATTCCATTAATGGAAGATAATTCAAATATTATCATGATCATCAAGATTACTTTAAATCACAAATTATTATTAAGTAACTCACATTGATATTATCCCTTTAATTTTTGTTATTCCTATATTCAAAATTCTTTTTTATCTTATTTTTATCTATTTTTATAATTATTCTTACTCCAATATTTTTAATATCTTATCACTTATAGTAGATTTTTAGTTTCAAATTTTATATAAATACCCTCTTTATTTCTTTTTCTTTTTCTTTATTCTTTCATATTTTTACTTTTATCTATTACTTTTTACTCTTATTATCTTATACCTTTTCAAATTTTATTATATTCTTATTTTTATTATTTCTAACAATATCTTAATTATCTACTTGAATTATATTAAATCTCTTGAAGAGATGTATCAAGAAATACTCACTCAACAACCTTTTAGAATAATTACTTTTTCAACTTATAAATTACTCACTTATGATAATTCAGGACAAGAAACTAATATTACATTCTTGAATTTACTCATGCAACTTGGATTTACTCAAGATTTTGAAACTGAAATACTTTTCTCTTGAATATTCAAATAACTATTGAACCTCTTGAAATTCCTATTAAACCAGTTAATATAACTATGGACTTAGACTTTGACTGATTAAATATCTTTATTATTATATCATTTGAAGATAAATTTAAAGTTAATATTAAATAAGAAGATATTGAAGAAGAATCAGAATTCATAAGTTCTGATAGTTTGATCACTTCTGAAGAATAACCTGAAGTATCTATATCTATATTGAAAGATATTAAACCTACTTTGAATAAAGACTGACTGACTTAACTGAAAGAAATCATATTATCTATTTATAATAATCTCTTGAGATATATGCTCTCAGTTTAATCACAGAAATATTCAAAAGAAATATCAGAAATCAAAAAAAAATTAAGGATACTCTTGAAAAGTACATATATAATAGATCATATAATATTACTTATAAAGTTTTTTTCATATATAATTCTGAAGAAGAAGTCTTTGATAATCAATTTGAATTTATACTAATCAAGTTGTGTCACTTGAACAAGAAAGAATTATTGAAGATTATTAATTAATTTTTGCAGGAGCAAAAATTTTCTGAAGAAGGATCATATATTACTATAATGATATAAAATTTTTTAATTTCTTAATCTTTCCCTAGTTATACAAAATCATATATTTCTATATTTTTTATTTATTTTATAAATATTCCTATTTCTATATCATATATTACTATATTTATTATCATGTTTTTATTTTTAAATATTATATCTTATTTAATATTCAGGATCTATATTTTTATTATCTTGTAATACAATATTTATGTACATAGTAGAATAGTATAGTAAAAGATCATTTTTAATTTTGATAAAATAATTATACTTGGATAATAATCTTAAATATCTTTCCTTATTCTTTGATATCCTTTAATGTTCTTTCATGTCTTCTCACATCTTTCCATATCTTTTCATATTTTTTCATATCTTTTTATATCTTTCTACATCTTTTAACATTCTTTCATGTACTTTAATATTCTTTAACATTCTTTAATATCTTTTAACCTACTTCAACATAACTCATTTATAATTATTTATACTATAGTATTTTAATTATATCTTGTATATTAGATAGTATTAACTAGTAATACTATAATAA